AAATATTTGCTATGTCTGGGCCAATTACCATATTTGGACTTGAAAAATTTTAGTAAGGTCTCTCTTTAGAGAATGTTCTTAATTCTAAGCCACAGAAGAAAATAAAACCTGTTGGAGATGACAAACAGCCCACATACACACAGTTCTGAGCAGACACACACACACACTCTCATGTGAGCAGATATTCAGATCACTTCCTCAGTAGCCACTCCTGGGAAACAGCAGTGAAGAATTAAGAAAGGGGAAAACCTCTGATTTTCCTACTTCTTGTTCTTCAATTCACGTATACAGGTGTACACACACACACACACACACATGTATAAACAGGTATGAGGGGCTTTCCTGGTGGTCCAGTAGTTAAGAATCCGCCTGCCAATGCAGGGGACACGGGTTCAATCCCTGGTCCAGGAAGATGCTACCTGCCACGGAGCAACCAAGTCCATGGGTTGCAACCACTGACGCCCTCACACCTAGAGCCAGCGCTCCACGACAGAAGCCACCACAACGAGAAGCCCGCGGCAACAAAGGCCCCGTGCGGCCAAAACAGTAATTAAAACAGGGCTGAGAGATGTGTTTTCTCAGAAAGCATCTAGCACACAGGCGTTTTATAAAAGTCACCCTGCACTTGTACCAACTGAACTTCTGCCCATTTAAATAAATGTGAACCACCTTAAAGCCTGTTATAAAGTCACTAAAAGTATACAAGTTAAAATACAAGGGAATACCACAGAGGTCAATCATAAAATGCTTCCACAGCGCAAGGTTCAAATGGATGTTTAAGAACATATTAGCATCTATTTATAAAACAGTTCCAGCGGCACATCCAGAGGTTCACTCTCCTTGCTCTTCCCTCGGTCGCATAATTACCCAGGTACACAAACCCCCCCAAGTGCTCTCAGAGTCAGAGGGGACCATGTCAATACCTGACTCAACCCTCGACCAATCACCAACCACCTCGTATGGTGATGCAAGCAACCCCTGATGCCTACAAAATTCCATTTCTAAAGCCTTCTGTTAGAAACTGGGTCCTTCAATCAATGTATCCAACCAACACACCCACCAATTTCTGCTAGGGCTAGAAGATGCAAAGATGAATAAGACATGGCTTTCAGCATAAAAATCCAATGCCTGGCACATAATAGATGCCCAATTAATAGCTGAAGAATGGGTAGAGGCATGACTGAATAAGCAAGCTCACAGCCCCTGGCGGTTCAGTGGTTAAGGTCTGATGCTTCCAATGCAGAGGCACGGGTTCGATCCGTGGTCAGGGAACTAAGATCCCACATGCCACGGGGAGCAGCCAAAAAAAAAAAACCAAAGATGAACATAGGGGCCATGTTTGTACATTATTCTCTATCCTGACTGTCTCATTTTATCTACACGTCCAAGTGGAAATGATACTTATGTGACTTTTATCTTAAATTGCTATATATTAATTCAGCATGTTAAGTGTATTATTGTTTATTCAGTCATTCCCAGAATGCTTTGTGTAGAATCTATCACTTTACTAGTATCAGCAGCTTAACCCAAATTAACTTTCCTCTTCTACCCCCAATTCCATGAATTATTTCCTCAGAATACAGTTCCCAACACGGAATTTATGGGTCAATGGCAACGAACACATTCTTTGTGCTTAGTTGTCCTTATTTATCACCAAACTGCAGCAGAAAGAAAATATGCAGCACTACCAATATTTCTTACCACCGTAACCTATAATTATTTCGAGTAAGCTGGCAGACAAAATAAACTTGATTTCCATTTGCTGAACTGCTAAGGAGGATATCCCTGTTCTTCACAATGATGTCATGTCTCAAATTTTCTGTCTTCATCTCTCCTCACCACTTCCAGAGAGAACGCTGTGAACTGACCTTTGGGATCTCAATATTTTGGATGATCACCATTTAATCTTTTACACTGTCCCTTTATTCTTACCCATGCTGTGGCATTCCATTTAATATTTATTCTGTTGCTTGTGGCTGGGCTATTCTCCTTTTGTTCTTCAGCTATTCAGGCAAATCTGTCTTGTGGACGATAATTTTCTGGCTTGCCTCAGTGGCTATAAGTTCATCTTCCTGGTACAGCTGGGTTAAAAATGGTATTCCATTTTCTTCTAGTGATTTTGTGAATAAATAGAGTGGAATCCAAAAGCCAAGGCACCTTTATACTTTGAGATGAATAGACTTTTAAAACTGCAGAACTTTCTGGTCAGAGTGCAATGTTCTCAGTTCCCAAGGTGGACTGGCCCATATCATGAAAGGAGAGATGTCACAGGACAATTACTCTTCTCCAATCAGGAGAAAGCTGGGTATGAAATCTGAGAATCGAAACCTCCACCTCCTTCTTAGGTGTCCACCACCCTGCAACCCTCAACTGCCAGTGTTTTATACACATCTCAACAAGCTGGCTCAGAATGAATTTTCAGTAAGAAAGGTCATCACAAATGTGAAAGCAATCACCTGAAGAAGATACCTGGTTGTCACCCAGAAGTACAACAACCAAATCAGAACAGCTATGGAGGTAGGTCACCTAATTATCTTCCTTATAATGAAACTCCCTAGTAAATTTCAATACTTTCCCTCCATTGATGGAAAATGGAGAGAAAAGGATATGGTAAGGAAAAAAGCAGCACATATATAGTCATTTACAAAGTTGAGATTATACTTGAGAATTTTTAAGTATCTTGGACACGACTGAGTGACTAACATATATGTAACTTATATATTAAAAAAGAAGTAAATTCACCTGAAACTAATACAACCTTGTAAATCAATTATACCTCAATTTAAAAAATAAAGCAAAATAAAAGCTAAGAAAAGAAAATGGGTATGACTGATTTTGGAATCTCAAAAAATAAAGTGTTAAAAAGAAGAAGTAAAAAAAGAAGAAGTAAATTCATTGAAAGGTTAACAGTGCTTATGTGAAGGGAGGTAAGATTATGAGTTATTCTAATCTTTAGATTTCTTTTGCATTATATACTTCATATGATTAAACATTTCTACATACACATATCCAAAGCACATACTTTTATCCTTTTAAAATCTTGAATTTCTAAAAATGGATGTAGAGAAGATTTTGGCATTATACTGAAGCAAATGCTAGTAGTAATTAAGCCAAATACCCAAATTTTTATTTCGGCTACTGCTCACTAAACACAAGGACCTCCCTTTTTTCATATGTACCAGGACTCCTATCAATAAGTCTGAGATTCATTACTGCACATTTAAAAGAATTCTCAAGATAACACAAACTTGCTTTTTCTTTTCTTCTTAGGGTTTAAGTCTCTAAACTACTTGCAAAAAACAGTTGCAATGAGGTTTACATAAAAGCAACATGATGGTATTGTGGTTACACTGTTTTCTTTTTAAGTCCTTACCCACTGGATAAATATTGAAACATTTATTGGCAGTAATAAAATATTTAAACTTCCCTTAAAATACTCAAGCCAAAAAAAGTGCTGAGGGAAAGAGATCAAACAAGAACAAAAGAGGATTGAAATTATTTAAGTTGGGTGGTGGGGACCATTATTCTATTCTGCTTTGTGTACATTCAAGGTTTTTCCATAACACAGCTTTTTGAAAATGTGCTATAAGTGAAAAGCCATATACACAAGTGCAGCAAATGATTCCTTATTTCACCCAAGGTAGCAAAGTTAAGATCATACACACTTTTTTATTTCCCCCCACATCAGGGTGACTATTTCAAAGGGTGCATTTGACTCTGTACCTTCTCCTTATTAGGCAATAAAAAGTATATGCATGTGTAAATCTATCCAAAAATGTCTTTCATATGCATCTGAAGACTTGAGTCAGAAGATTTCAGATTTTCTGTTCTGGGCCAGAATTAGAACAAGATAGCCAACTGACATAGCACTCCTTGGCTTATGACACTTAAAAAATAAAGAAGAGGCATGCTAATTCTGACAGCAACCAGACCTATTCTAGGAGCCCCATTCTCCTGCTTGACACAGAGTGAGGACTCGGCGACTTCTCAAAAAGGACCAGCTGGTCTCCACGTGAGATAGCTGCAGGGCAAAAAGCCTCAGTACTCAACACAAGTTAGATAGGCAAGACCGCAGGACTTCCCCAGTGGTCCAGTAGCGAAGACTCTGTGCTCCCAATGCAGGGGCCCAGGGTTCAATCCCTCGTCAGAGAACTAGATGCTGCGCGCCGAAACTAAAGAAGATCCCACACGCCACAACTGACATCCGGAGCAGCCAAATAAATGAATGAAAAATTCAAAAATAAAAAAGAAAGAAAACCAAGACCATGATCATTTATTTTATAGAGTCGGTTCTCGGAAATAGTTGCAGAGGATGACATGAACACCAAAGACCCTGGGAGCCCCAAACTGATGACTTCCCAGCCAATCAAAAGTAAAAACAAAACATAACCCCTAGGGGACTCTCAGCAGAAGGGTTTTCCTGTACATTATCACATGTGATCCCTTGAGAAGCTGGGAGGGCCTGTGTCATTTCCATTTCACAGATGCAGAAATGTGGGTTCCAAGCTTTAAGGCAATAAAGTCTTCTGCCTCCAAGGACAGAATTCTTTTCACTGGCTCACACCCCCTCGAAGTGTGTGGGAGGGTAGCACTTCATAAAGTGAAGGAGAAAAGGGGAAATCAGCTTTAGGTCCAACGCTTTCTGAATTTCAAAACGCCCTCAATGATTTCCTGATTATCCACTTTATGTTCTTTCTCTTTGCTATGAGCATGGAGACTTCACCAGACAGCCCTTCCACCTCCCTCAAGTTTCTATGGGCTTGTGTCCTTTGCTCTCTGAGCTTGGGTAGCAGAGGTCTCCTGACAATTCACTTAACCCACGAAACAGAAATAATTATTTGTTTAAAACCAGGAGGAATCATGATGGCTGTGCCTGGGAGGTTTGCTTCTGGTCCTCTCTCTCCATCCATCAAGACAGTACTCAAGAAAAGGAGCTGGGGATCGACATCGCAGCCCCCACCTTCCACAGACACTCCACCTAAGGGAAGAACAAGGCCTACCTCTCTGACTTCGTGAAGCTGGCCGGAATACTGACTCTTGGCTCTTCGGGCGGCGGCAGGCGACTTGTGATGCGTGATTGTGACGACACCAGGGGCCCCGGCGCTGAGGTGTCTCTGGCTACAGGGAGACGCAGAATTGGATGTTCCATGGGGGAGCAAAGTGAGACTTCGGCTTCGGGAGCTTGGAGTCGTCTAGAACAAGCAACAGGCATCAAAACTCAACAACCAGCCTGCAGAACACAACCGAGCACTGCCTTCCATTTATGCTGGACCTCTCAGGCCTTCCCCTTCATCTTTAAGAGAGATGAGGGCCTGGGGAGTACATGCTTTCATCTTACACTCACTCAGGCCAGAGAGACCATCCCCACTAACTATGCTTCTGGCCTCACTTCCGGCAGGGTCTCCTGCCCCAAACTATGGCTATGGAGAGCTGCTCCAAGGCCTTCAAACGCCACAGGCTCTCAGAGGTCTGTGTTCCTCTTCCTAAATACCCTCCCCTCCTGCTGGTAAAGCCAGCTGAGCGCTCAGTGTTGTGTGAAGCATTCCCTGTCTGTCTCAGCCTCTCTGCTCTCCTATTCCACTACACTGAGTCTATGTTTATTATCCAGCTAAATTATATGAGATTCTTTCAAACTCATCTTTATACCCCCAAGACCTGGCACATCATGATTGTTTAATTTATTAGGTACTTAATACATGTTTGCTGCATGAGAACTAAGAATGAATGTATTAAGTTATCCACCAATTAATCCCCATTTGTCCGTGCACTGCTGGTATTTCATCCTATTGGGACATATCATCCAAACAGTAACTGGGCACAAGGACAGCATCTCAACTTAGTGGCAATAAATTTTTCAATAACGTGTTGGGATAACTGGGCAGCCAACTGAAAAACAAAGTCAGATTTACCTCTCAGATCACAGACCCCAAACAGATCAAAGACTAAGAAAAAAGAAAGAGAGAACACTAGAAGAAAACAAATTCAAAAGTTGACCTAAAAATTGACAACTTCTACATGGCTAAAAGTGAAAGTCACTCAGTTGTGTCTGATCTTTGCGAACCCCATGGACTATACAGTCCAAGGAATTCTCCAGGCCAGAGTACTGGAGTGGGTAATATGAAAAATGTGTTCAACTGTACTCAAATGATAAATGTAAATTCAAACCACATTTAGATATACCATCTTTCACCCATCGGATTGTAAAAACCCAGAAGTGTCAGTATGCAATCTGCTGACAGACCATGGAGAGACAGCTTTGCAAGAGTGTCAAGTGGCAGAAACCCTGAGGAGGGCAATCTGATAGGACCTGTCCCAGTTACAAGTGCACTTCCCCGTGACCCAGCAACGTCCTGTTGGGGAATGTCTCCCCCACACACCTGCACCCAGGTATAACGGCATCTGTAGTCACCAAAGTCACGTGTTAAACGGCAAAGGACAGGAACCAACCTAAATATCCCTCCATGTGGGATAGGTTAATAAGACACAACACACCTCCATGATGGAACATTACTGGGATGTTAAGAGGACTGTAAGAAAGGTCTCCGTGAACTGGTTTGGGAAAAGAAACCTCTAAACTATGTAGTTAAGTGAAAAAGGCAAGGTGCCTCACTGTTCTGTAGTATGCAAAGTACTGTGTTAAAATGTGGAAAATGAGTATTTTTATCATTGTTTAAAACACAAGAATAATCTAGAAGGATACACATTGAAGTCCAAGTGGCTGCTTATTCCATGGAGGAGATGTGAATAACAGTGTGAACAAAGAGGAAGAGAGATTCTTTCATTTTGAGCCATGTGAATGGATTATAGTGAACGGATTTTCTAAATTCTACATAAAAAAAATCTGTATTCTAGATGCTTCTGTACTTCATTTCAGCTCAAGAAAAACTGGCAGATTAGTGCCATTTTCTCTATTTTAATTATCAAATATTTACTGAATACCTACTGTGCACCAAGGAAAATATCTGAAACATGATGTGGAGGAGAAACATAAGATGTACGAGGCCGTTTTTCACCACAAATGCTTATACTGTTACGGGGGACAGAGGAGCAAAGACACAGAGACAGCAAGACAGACGGACACATACCCAAAGAAAGGAAGCACGTGACAAGATGCTAATTTGGCAATACAACCAGAAAACGCCAAAGTCAGGAAAAGCATGACCAAGGTGAACTGACTTCATCACAGAAGGCTGTTCTGAGGAAGAAGGACTTGAAGCTTGAGTAGAATTGGGAGAGACAGAGAGACACGTGTGGTGTACAAAGCAATCCAGGCAGGAAGTTCAAAGTCTGCAGCCTTGGGTAACAGTCCCAGGTCTAAAAAAAAAAAGCCACATGTAGTCCAATGGTCACTGCAACACTATTTACAAGAGCTAGAACGTGACAGCAACCTAGATGTCCATCAAGAGATGACTGGATAGAGAAGATGTGGTTATGCATACACAATGGAATATGGCTCAGCCATAAAAAGGAACAAACTTGAGTCATTTGCAGAGAAGTGGATGGACCTCGAGTTTGTCATCCAGAATGAAGTGAGAAATAGAAAAACAAATATTGTATATTAATACATATATGCATCAAGAAAAATGGTACAAACGAACCTATTTGCAGGGCAGGAATAGAAATGCATATGTAGAGAGCAGACTGGCAGACTGCGGGATGAACTGGGACCGACATACACACAACACCATGTGTAACACAGGGAGCTAGTGGGAAGCTGGGGATAGCACAGGGAGCCCAGCTCTGTGCTCCGTGATGACCTGGGGCGGGGGTGCTCAAGGAGGGGATGTATGCATACATGGAGCTGATTCACTTCACGGTACACCAGAAACTAACACAGTAAGGCGGCTATACCTACCCCTCCCCAAGAGTTGATGACTCATAGTTTCACAAATCGCCTAGAGGTTGGGGAGCTGCATAGGAGCCAGGGTAGAAATCAGAATTCCGTGTGAGCATGCAGTACCATGGTAGCTCATGCAGTTCTCTGGATTCGAACTCAGAATTAAGAAGACAGATAAACTTGGGAAGCAGTGTATTGCTTTCAAGTTACCTTATAAATAGGGACCTGGAGAAATCTGTGGTCTGAGAATTAAATATACTTTGATTATATTGAAATTTATAGTCATTTACTTTCAATCTTTTCCCTTGGAGTGAAGAGGAAGAGAGAAGCTATGTCTTTAACACTTTTTTGTTTGTATGTAATATATGTTTGTATGCATGTCTGTGTGTGTGTGTGTGTGTGTATATACATAGAGACATTATTTTGCCAACAAAGATCCATCTAGTCAAGGCTATGGTTTTTCCAGTGGTTACGTATGGATGTGAGAGTTGGACTACAAAGAAAGCTGAGTGCCAAAGAACTGATGCTTTTGAACTGTGGTGTTGGAGAAGATTCTTGAGAGTCCCTTGGACTGCAAAGAGATCCAACCAGTCCATCCTAAAGGAGATCAGTCCTGGGTGTTCATTGGAAGGACTGATGCTGAAGCTGAAACTCCANAACTTTCTTATTAAGCAACAATTTCCTAATCTTTAAAAAAGGAATCATAATATTGACCCTTCAGCGCCATCATGAAGGTTAAATTAGCTCAGGCACAAAAAATGCTTATCACCGGGGCTGCCGTGAAGGAGCTGTGTGGCCACAGTTCGCTTGCTTCCTTACAGCCCTTAAGACTTGATCGATGATGGCATTATCGATTTTTAAAATGTTAAGCAGTCGCTTAGCACAAAATTGTAAGCAGTCATTGACCTGCTCCTTATTTTCTTTAGGATCAAAGTTGTGATGAAGTCCAAGATGTAATTAAATACTCACTAGAGAATCTATATGGTCAGCAAAACTGTAAGGAGAACCATGCTTCTAGATTCTGAGTAGAATGAGAATCCATCAGAAATCAGACAGGCAGGCCTCTCTCTGCCTGAAGGACGGTCCCGTCGACAGCAATAAATCAGCAAAGTCGCCCAGGAGCCAAAGAACTCTGCTGTGGACGCCTAACCCTATGTTTATTATCTAATGGCTGTCGTCTGAATTCGCAAGCAGTAAATTTGAGTCGAAAAACCTTTAATTTCTCATTCACTGTGCGTTTCTCATGGTTTAATTCACACCTATGTCTCCTCCTGAGGGCAAATAGGAGCCAAAAAAGAAGTCTCTTGGTAAATCCCACAGGGTATCGGGAACTGGGAAGAAAAGGAAGAAAAAAAGCAACAATCTCCCACCACTAGAGAGAAGCGGGCCCTTTTTGAAAGGCCAGCCTACTGGAACTCAGCCCAATGTCACGCAGCAGCCTGGCTGGGAGGGGGGTTTGGGGGAGAATGGATACATGTATACATATGGTTCAGCCCCTTTTCGTCCATCTGAAACTATCACACAACGCTGTGACTTGGCAAAACTCTAATATAAAATTAAAAGTTTTTTTTTTTTAAGTGGGCTCTTGAAAACATTCAGGTTGTGTTTGAAAATTACACTGAGGGAATTCCCTGGCCACCCAGTGGTTAGGACTCCATGCTTTCACTGCTGAGGATGCGGGCTGGATCCCCAGATGGGGAACTAAGAGCCTGTAAACTGTGTGGCACGGCCAAATTTCTTTAAAAAAGAATCACATTTAGGTGTCATACACCCCCCCTCCCTGCTACTAATTTAAAATATTTTCAAAGCCTGAGGTACAACATGTCAGGGTTTTGCTCCGAACACTGATTTCAGAGGGGCTGACGAGAAATGCTGGGTGCGCCATCTGCAGAAAATTCCGAGGCAGGAGTAACCACTTCTACCTGGGAATATGACTCACCCTAACCTAGGAAGAGTCACCCCAGGTGTCCCCTCCCTTAGCCAGTAGCACCAGGTCAGTGGGGTGCCTGCCTGACAAACGGGGGTGAGGCCAAAGCGGGGAAGAGGTAGCAGAGAACGTGTGTGTTCAGACCATGAACACAAAGATGTTCAGGCCGTGTCCGAGGTTCCACACGCACTCAGGTTGGGGACATCCACCCACCTCTTGGTCGTCCTAACTTTCTTCCTTGGGTCTCTGTGTTCCCAAGGACTGGAGGAAGGGATGCACAGACATTCTCTCTGTATTTACTGGCCCACATGGGCATGAAGGAAAGATGTGATCGGAAAACGGAGAAGCAGCACTAGAAAGAGTACTCCCAGCCAGGGAAACCAAGCAGCAGGCCAGAGAGAGTCTGGTGTGGGGAGCGCATAAGAGAA